AAGTTCTGGGAACCAGGGGAAACAATGGTTTAGCTCTTAGTCAAGATTGAAAGTCTAGGGAAGGGGTGCCTGGGTGGCTCAGTTGGTTAAGCATCTGCCTTCGGCTCAGGTTCTGATCTCAGGGTCCTGGGATGGAGTCCGGCATCAGGCTCCCAGCTCAGCGGGGAGCCTGCTTCTCCCTCTGCTTCTCTCTCTCTCTGTCAAATAAATAAAATCTTTTAAAAAGAAAAGAAAAAAGAAAGTCTAGGGGAGGGGGGTGAGGTGCTGGTAGAAGTCTTGGAGTCTGAAGCCTGGGAAACAGGAGTTCCAATGTCTGAGAGCAGGAGAGAGAATTCCTTTGCCTTTTTGTGCTATTCAGGCCCTCAACAGATTGGATGGTGCCCACCCACATAGGTGTAAGATATTCTTTATTTAGTCTACTGATTCAAATATTAATCTCTTCTGGATACACCCTCACAGACACACCAAGAAAAAAATGTTTTAACAGCTATCTGGGCATCACTTAGCCCAGTCGAGTTGAAGCCTGCTGTAACTTTGTTAAATTAACATTTGTTAAGAACTGCAGGTTGTCAAATGGTGATTCACAGCTCAACAAAAGACTGCAAGGGAAAGTGAAATAGAGAACTTTGTTATTCACAGGTCCTGGAGGAGGTTCATAGCATCCTCAAGGGGCCACACGGGGGAGTTCAAGGCAGGGTGCAGGCAGAGAGAGCAGGGAAGGACCTGGGGCACATGCCTTTATTAGGGTCTGCAGGTAGAGTGCTTTGGGGTTCTCAGGCTAAGGTCAGATTGGACAACGCAAACCAAAAAGAGCAGGGCTTGGGTAAGTTTCTTGGGGGTCTTATGTAAGAGGCGCAGAAGGGGAAGGCTCTCGCAGATGGGGAGCATGCTTATCACAAGGGCAGTTGAGGTAGTCCTATCAGGAACTTACATTTGTAACTCTGTGGGCTGTTACCTAGGGAAGGCATTCTTGGGAGGGCAAGTGTCAGTTCAAGGTTCCTACAGGACTCTTGGCCATACAAAATGGATGCTGAGGCAGCAATATTACGGAGTAGTTTAGCAAAACTCCCCAAAACACAAAAAAATTAACCTTCACGATAGTCAATTACATATTACTCTTCATCCATCCTCCATTTAAAAAATACATTCACAATAGGAACACGAAGAAATTTAAAAAAAATTCTGGTGAACCAAATAAAATATATACTAGAATGTATAAAATTTTAAAACATATATATGAAATTGTATGGTGTTGGGTCATCATACTGAATATAATTAAATATATTTTATACCCATATGATACCTTGCACTGAATTTTTTAAAAACTAAGATCTCACCATTGTTATATTAATTCAACAAATGGAAAACTGATGTACAGGGGAGCTTCAAACTTAAAAATGGGTTCTACATGTAAAATGTATTTGTAAAGTATTTTCATTTTGTCATTCAAACATCACTCAATCATACAAAAATATTTATTGAACAAAATTTAGTAGGCAGGCACTGTACTAACTTCTGGGACTGTATTTAGAATATCATTAATTCTACTGATCAACTTGGGGAAAACTGGCACCCTTACTACACTGGGTCTTCCAATCCATGAACACAGAGTCTCTCAACTAATTTAGGTTATTGACTTCTCCCACCAGAATTTTGAAGTTAAAGGTTAACTATAAATTGAAGTTCTTTGATTAATACGAACTTATTTAGATTTTCTGTTCTTGGGAGAGTTGTAATAGTGTTTTAATATTTTTTAATGTCTTTAGGGTATTAGTAATGTCACCTCTTTTACTCCTAATTAGAATAATTTTGTCTTGTCTCTTTTTTTCTTGAAGATTTTGGCTGGTATCAAACGTATTGGTTTAAAAAGCTTTTGCTTTTGTTAATTTCCCTTTATTGTTTCCCACTTTCCAATTTATTGATTTTTGCTCTCATATTTATTATTCATTACTGTTGCTTGCCTTCACTTATTTGTTTTTTCTAGCTTTTTCAAGGGAAAGTTTCAATTGATTTAAAACCTTTCTTTAATTCCAATATAAGCATTCAATGTTAAAAATGTCCTAGTTCTAAAAAAAATGTCCTAGTTCTGTGTTAGAAACATCCCAGTTTTGATGTTATATTTCCTTTTAATTCAGTACAAAATATTTTCTAATTTGCACCAAAATTTCTTAGACCAATCAGCTTTTGGAGAGGTTGTTGTTTACTTTCCAAATACTGTGGTAATTATTACATGTTTCTGTTACTGATTTCTACTTTAATTCCATTATTGCCACTTTAATTCCATTTTCATTAATGCTTTCTGTGATTATATTAGATTTGATCATATTTTCTTTTGGTCAGGTATATGGTGAATACTGCTGAATGCTTCAAGCTACTGCTGTGGAACGGAGTGTTCCATCAATGTCATTTAAGTCAAGTTGATTGATAGTCTTCAGACTTCCACATCCATGATATTTTCCGTCTACATGTTTTAATAAATAAAAATGAGACAGTGAATGAATAATAATAATAATAATGAATAATGAGAGTATAGCTAAAGTTTCCAAGAATAATTTTGGATCTATTTCTTTTTTCATTTTTTGTTTCATGTATGTTGAAACCTGCAGTTAGTTGCAACCAAATTTAGGAATAACTTAGGTAATTTTCTCATTCCACCCTTCTTTTGATTCATGTTCACAAGATTTATCATTTCTCTTCCTGTTATTTGTAATACAACTTTGTTATTCTATTTAAAGTGGGTATTCTTAGGACACCTGGGTGGCTCAGTCAGTTAAGTGTCTGCCTTCAGCTCAAGTCCTGCATCAGTCTCCTTGCTCAGTGGGGAGCCTGCTTCTCCCTCTGCTTGCCACTCCCCCTGCTTGTGCTCTCTCTCTCACTCTGACAAATAACTAAAATCTTAAAAAAATAAAGTGGGTATTCTTTTTTTTTCTGGGTGATTTATATTTTTAACAAATTATATTTAAATAATTATGGAGACACAGAATATTGCAAAGATAGTACTGAAAGTTACTCATACCTCTCATCTAGTTTTCCCCACAACTAACACTTTACCATAACTCTAGTATAATATCAAATCCAGAAAAGCAATGTTGATACAAAGTGTGTGCATAATTCTGTGCTATTTTATCGCATATGTAGATTGGTGTAGCCACCACAGCAATCTAAATTCAGAAATATTCCATCATTACAAAGATTTCCCTTGTGCTATTCCTTTATAATCACACCCACCAATACCTTCTGTCATACCTAACAGATGACAAGTAATAATCTGTTTCCATCTGAATAATTTTGTTAAGTAATCATGCATATGTGACCATTTGAAACTAGTTTTTCATTCACTATACTACTCTTGAGAAATATCCAAGTTTTTGTTTATGTCAACAGTTAATTCTTTTTTGTTGCTGAGTAGTATTCCATGGTATGGATGTACCACAAAATTTTAACCATTCACCTGTTGATGGAAATGTAGATTGATTTGTTTGTGACTATTCCAAATAAAACTGTTGTAAATATTTAAATACAGGCTTTTGGGTAGATACTTTTCATTACTCTAAGATAGTAATAAAAACCCATGACTACAATTATTGATTCTTACTGTGTGTTCAGTTTTAAAAGAAACTTCTAAAGTGGTTTTTAAAGAGTGGATTTGATGTACCCATCATGAATGTATGAGTTCCAGTTTCTCCACATCTTCTTCAGAATTTTGTATGGTCAATGTTATATACTTTAACTCTTGTAACAAGTATGTAATTTTATGTCATCATGGTATTAGTTTGGATTTTCCTAATTGCTAATGATTTTCAGTATCTGTCCATGTTCTTAGTGACATTTCTCTAGCCTCATCAGTAAAATGCTTTTACATGTCTTTTGCCCAATTTCTAACTATATGGTTTGCATTTTTATTGTTGAGTTTAAAGGTTATTTATGTATTTTAGGCACAAGTCCAATGACATATTAGTGTTTTCTGAATATTTTCTCTGAAAATGCAGATTGTCTTTCCATTTTCTTCATAGGAAACTATGCAGAGCAAAAGTATAAAAGTTTAGTGTAGCCCAACTTATCAATCTTCTTTAATGGGTTGTGCTTTTGTTTTCATGATTAAGAATACCTTGCCAAGCCCTAGATCCTATATTTTCTCCTATCATTAGGTCTAAATGTTTTATTGTTTTGCATTTACATTTAAGTTTATGATCTATTTTGAATTAATTTGGGTAGAAGATACATGAGGTTTAGGCAAAGGTTTATTTTTAAAATTTATAAATATTTAATCTGACCCAGAACCTAGTATTGAAAATACCATCTTTCTTCTATTGAACTGGTTTTAGAAATTTGTCAAAAGCCCAAAATAGGTATATTTCTGTGGGTCAATTTCTGGGTTCTCTATTACTTGATACGTCTCTTTCCCTTCATCAAAACCATGCAGACCTGATAATGGTGACAATTCAATGTCTTAAAATCAGGTAGAGTGATAACACTCACTATAGAAATCTTTTAATAAATTGTTTAGGCCATTCTAGTTACATTGTCTTTCCTAGAGGGACATCTTAATTGCTTCTAAGTTTGGGCAATTATGAATACAGCTGCTACAAATATACATGTACAGGTGTTTGTGTGGACATAAAATTTCAAATCCAATGGGTAAATAACAAGTACAATTGGTGGGTCATATGGCAAGATTATGTTTACTTTTGTAAGAAGCTGCTGAAATATCTTCTAAAGTGGCTGGCTGTACCACTGTGTATTCCTACTAGTAATGTATAAGAGCTCCTATTACTCCAAACCCTCACCAGAATTTGGAGTTGTGTTCTGGATTTTGTTTAATTTAATAGGTGTGTAGTAGTATCTCCTCGTTTTAATTTGCATTTCCCTGATAACATATAATGTGGAGTGTCTTTCATGTGCATATTTCCCATCTGTATATCTTCTTTGGCGGGATGTAAGTTAAATTCTTTGGCTCATTTTAAAATCAGATTGCATTCTTACTATTGATTTTTCAGAGATCTTTGTATATTTTGGCTAATAGTCTTTTCTCAGATGTCAGTGCTTGCAAATGTTTTCGTCTTTTATCAGTGTCTTGCAAATATTTTTTCTACCAGTTTCTGGCTTGTTTTCCTACTCTCTTGGCATTGTCTTTTGCAGAACACATGTTTTTAATGCTAATGAAATCTAGCTTTTCAATGATCTCTTTCATCGATTGTGCCTTTGGTATTTTACCAAAAAAAGTCATTGCCATATCCAAGATCATCTAGGTTTTCTCCTATTTTACCTTCTAGGAGTCTTAAAATTTTGCATTTTACATTTAGGTCTATGATCAATTTTTAGTTTTTGTATAGGGTGTAAGGTCTGTGTCTGGATTCATTTTTTTCACGTGTAAGTCCCAACTGTTCCAGCAACACTTGTTGAAAATACTATCTTTGCTCCATTGTATTGCCTTTGCTCCTTTGTCAAAGATCAGTTGACTACACTGGACTCTCTATGCTATTCCACTGATTTGTCTATTCTTTTGCCCAAACCACACTGTCTTAATTGCTGTAGCTTTGTAGTAGGTGTTGAAGATGAGTATCTCCAGTTCTGACTTTGCTCTTTTCCTTCAGTGTTTGTGTTGGTAATTTTGTCTTTTGCTTTTCCATATAAATTTGGAATTAGTTTGTCAAAATCCACAAAATAACTGCTGAGATTTTTACTTGGATTGCATTGAATCCATAGACCAAGTTGGGAAGAACTGACAATTTGGCAATATTAAGTCTTCCTATCCATGAACATCAAATATTTACTTATTTAATTCTTTTATTTCATTCATCAGTGGTTTGTAACATATTTTCTTATAGACCTAATTATTTCATTTCAGTGTGTGTGTGTGTGTGCGCGCGCGCGCTAATATAAATGGTATTGCTTTTAACTTCAAATTCCACTTGCTGATTGCTGATATATAGGAAAGCATTTAACTTTTAAATATTAACTTTGGGGGCACCTGGGTGGCTCAGTTGGTTAAGCATCTGCCTTCAGCTCATGATCTCAGGGTCCTGGGATCAAGTCCCACATCGGGCTCGCTGCTCAGTGGGGAGCCTGCTTCTCCCTCTCACTCTCCCTCTCTCTCTCTCAAATAAATAAAATCTTTAAAAAAAATATTAACTTTGTATCATACAACCTTGCTATAATCACTTATTAGTTCTAGAAATTTTTTGTTGATACTTTGGAATTTCTACATAATCATGTCATCTCTGACAAAGATAAATGCCTCCTAATCAAACTGTATAACTATTATTTCCTTTTCTTGTACTATTGTTGGACTCTCAGCATATTTTTAAAAAGTGATGAGATGAAATATCCTTGCCTTGTTTCTGCTCTTAGCAGAAAATTGGCATATACCATCATTAAATATAATATTGCCTGTAGGTTTTTTGTATAAGTTCTTGATCAAGTTGAGGATGTTATGCTCTATTTTTAATTTACTGGGATTATTTTTTATCATGAATGGGTTTTAGATTTTGTGAAATGATTTTTCTACATTTATTGATATGATCATATATTATTTTTCTTTTTTTAGCTTGTGATGGATTACAAAAACTGATTTTTGAATGTTGAAGTCACACACATAGGATAAATCTCATGGTTGTGGCATAAAATTTTTATACATTGTTGAATTTGATATGCTAATATTGTTGGGAATTTTTGCATCTGTATTCATGAGAGATATAGGTTTGTAGTTTCCTTATAGTGTCTTTGTCTGGTTTTAATATATAGTAATGATGATTTCATTGTATGAGTTAGGAAGTATTTTTACAGTTTCTATTTTCGGAAAGAGATTGTAAAGTTGAGGTATAACTTCTCCCTTAAACGGCTGATAGAATTCCCCAGTGAATCCATCTAGACCTTCTGGTTTTCTTTTGGGAATGTTATTTATTGATTTAATTTAATACATAAAGGCTTTTTGAAATCGCCTATTTCTTAAGGAATTTCACAACTATATTTAGGTGATACTAATCTGTAGTTTAATTGTATTTTTACTGCCTTTGCCTTTTGTATAATAATAACACTAGCCTTACAAAATGAGTTAAGAAGTGTTTTTCCTGTTTTCTGGAAGACATCACATACAAATTGGTGATAATTTTTTTTTTTTTTTGAGAGAGAGAGAATGAGAGAGAGCACATGAGAGGGGGGAGGGTCAGAGGGAGAAGCAGACTCCCTGCCGAGCAGGGAGCCCGATGCGGGACTCGATCCAGGGACTCCAGGATCATGACCTGAGCCGAAGGCAGTTGCTTAACCAACTGTGCCACCCAGGCACCCGGTGATAATTCTTTAAATATTTGGTTCAATTTTCCAGTAAAACAAAGTGGGCCTAGAGATTATTTTCCCAGGAGTATTTAAATGTAATTTACTAAGTTGGTATCGGGTATTCATTTTCTTTTGTAAGTTATGATAGTTTGGGTCATTTGAGGGATAGGTCCATTTTATTTAACATGTCTAATCCAAAGATGACAATTACGCAGTTTCCCCTTATTATCCCTTTAAGGTCTTTATGATTTATTGCTATCTCATTTCACTTGTGTTATTAAGGATTTGTGGCTTCACTTTTTTGCCAATCTTAGTAGGTTTGTGAATTTCAATCTTTTCAATGAAACAGCTTTAATTTTTTCCATTGTTTCATTTAATTCATTTAATTTTATTGATTTTCTGATCTTATTTTCATTTTCTTCATTCTTCTTGCTTTGGACTTAATTTGCGAGTTCTTTCCCAGTTCCTTAAGGTGTTTTGTTTACTGATTTGAAGTTTTTGTGTTTTATAAGTATTCACTGATATAAATTTCAGCACTGATTGGGCTGTGTCTTTATATTTTAAATGTAATTAATTTTCATGTTTTTATTACTGTTAAGACATCATCTTTGACTAATCGCTTGTTTAAAAGTATGTTGGTTAGTCTCCAGGTGTTTAAAATTTTTCTTGTTATCTGGGCATGTGGATGGCTCATTCGGTTAAGTGGCCAACTCTTGGTTTCAGCTCAGGTCATGATCTCAGGGTCCTGGGATAGAACCCCATGTCAAAGTCTGCGCTCAGCAGGGAGTCTGCTTGTGGATTCTCTCTCCCTCTACCTCTGCCCCTCCCCCCAACTCTTGCATGCATGCACTCCCTCTCTCAAATAAATCTTTTTAAAAATAATTTCCCGTTACCTTTCAGTTATGTATTTCTACTTTGATAGTGTTGTGGTAAAAACACTATATATGATTAAAATTCTTTTCAACATGTTGAGGTTTTGCGACCCAAAATATGATTTTCTACATGGCCTATGTGCATTTGAAAAGAAAGTACTTTGGTATTACTGAATGGACTGTTCTACACACGTCAATTAAATCAAGGTAGTTCATAGTTTTGATCAGGTCTCTATTTTCTAATTATTGTTGAGAAATGTACTTATCAATTTTATTTGTTAATTTTATTATTTCTGTATCTGTTATTGCTTTCTCTATTCTGGAGCTCTGTTGTTTGATGCATAAAATTAAAAACTGTTATATATTCTTAGTTGTTTTGTAATGCAACCTCTTTCTGGCCTCCACAGTTTCTGATGACAAATCTGTCATTTGCATTTTTTTCCTACAAGTAATGCATTTGACCCCCTCTGGCCACTTTCACAATTATCTTTTGTTTTCAAAGCTTTGATTATTAATGTGCCTCAGACAGATTTCTTTAGGATTCTAAGGTTTAGGGTTCAGTAAACTTTGTGAATCCATTGGTTTATGTATTTTCAAACATTGGAGGAATCTTTGGTCATTATTTTGTCAAACGGGATTTACCGCTTTCTTCCCCCCTTGTACAACCCCAATGACAACAATGTGGACTTTTTTTTATGGTCTCTAACACCATTGAGGCTTTCTCCATTTTTTTTTTTTTTAGTCTGTTTGCTCTCTGTTGCTCAGTCTGAATAATTTCAATTCCTTTAAGTTCACTAATAAGTCTTCTCTGCCATCTCCATTCCATTTAGTTACCTATTATATTTTTCAGTTGTGAAATTAAACACTTTACATATCCTCTTTCCTGAGACTTTCTGGTTATTTTGTTTCAAGTGCTTGTAATTGCTTGTTAAATCATTCCCATAAGGACTGCTTTAAAATTCTCATCAGGTAATTCCAACATCTGTGTCATCCTGGTTTGTGATAATAATGGGTGATTTTTTAATCCTCTACTAGACATTCTGGGTATGTGAGACTCTGCAATTAATTTGAATCTTCTCTTTTTACAGACCTCCTTTGAGACAACTCTGGTAAGGGAGGGAGTTTCTGCCATCTAAGTACCAGGTAGGCGTGAAAGTACAGGTTCTCCCCTTGGCATTCTTTAAACTCTAAGAGTGAGGAAAGGCTCATTGCTGCTGGTCATATGTAGGTATGAGAGAACAGCATATTTTATTAATGCTCCTCACCATATGTCCTCCCCAGGTACCAAGATGGATGGATCTTAATGAGAGCTGGATGGTCAAAGTACCAGCTTGCCACATGGTTTCATCTGAAAACCAAAAGGGAGAGGGAAAGGCTCTTCATTTTGCTGGATGTGAATATAAATCCAAGATGTCCGCAAGGCCTCTACTTATGCTGTGATGGGATTAATGTTAACACTGTGAAGTAGACTTTGCTGTGCAGTGGATTTTCTTTGATACCATCCTGACACTGGTTGAGGGGGCGATGAGAGGCTCATTATAGCTTGGCAGTGCTAAAGTCTATGATCTCCACTCAGCCTTTGCTGATGGGGGTGTGGATTGAGTGATTTTTATCCTGAAGTTTAAATGGAGTAGGGCAATATTATCTAAAAGTTCTTATTTGATGGGTTGTCACTGTCTAAAGAGAACCCTTTCCCTAGGGCTTTGTTCTGTTTTGATTTTTGGTCTCTGCCTGGAGACCTATTTGCCAAATTCTCCAGCACTTAACCTGAGATATATTAGGAAAAAGAAAAAAAAAAAAAAACAATTTGGAAACTCAACACCTAGTTATCCCTTGGGTCCCATTTGTCTCTTGCTGATGTCCACTCATTTCTTCTTCTTCCTATTTATTTATTTATTTATATTTGTTGTAAGTAGGCTCCACACCCAATGTGGGGCTTGAACTCATGACCCTGAGATTATGAGTTGCGTGCTCTACTGGCTCTATCTGGCTGGCACCCCTCCATTCATTTATTTTTCAGTCTTCCTATATGTCTTTTATATATAATGTCCAGGGGTGTTTTTTTTTTTGGCAAATATGATAATGCATTTATTCCACTAATCTCGAGCCAAAAGTTCTAGACCATGTAGAATAAATGGATTTGGTTGCTATATGTCCATTCTTTTATTATTTATCTCTCCACTTTCTAAAACTCCATTTTTATTCTTTCTTCTATTCCTTTGGATTATTTGAATATCTTGTAGTATTCTACTTTAGTAAATTTTTTAGTATGTCTTCATATTTTTGAGAGGTTTCTCTAAGGATTACAATACACATACCTGATATTCTGTGTACTAAACATTAATATATTACTACTTAAAATAAAACCTACAAATCTTAGAACCACATATGTCCCATTACTGTGTCATAAGCTGTTAACTTGTGATTTTGTCATACATGCAAGCTAAAAGTAAGCTTGTCACAGTTTTATGAATTCTGGCAGAAGAGCTAAGAATCGTGCATCAGTGACAAAAGATTTTATGACTCATGACACAGTAAGAAGTATGAGCATCTTCACATTGATTTCAAGAGGAGTCTACATTGGTTCTTCAAGCCTCCCAACACATTCCAAGAGGGCAATGAGAAGTGGTCTAGGTAGATTATGCACAGGTAATAGTTTTGCATCAGGTGAGGAATCCCAAGTTTAGGAAACCTGAATATTTTGGCTTCTCCATATACTGACTTTTCCAATAGGCCCAAAGGATTAATCCAGGTACCACAGGATGTATTAGTGATTGCAGAGGCTTCTGCCTTTGCCCGCAAGTTGGGACCCTAGGCCAGTTCTATAGTCCAAAACAATTCTGGCCAATGAGTTGAAACTGACCTGACTGCCTTACAGGGACTAGATGAAGGAATCTTAGTGACTTAAGCACCCCATTGGGTCAGCTTTCCTTGAAGCTTTGTTTCAGGTGGGGGAGCAGGAAATAAAGTTTCCCAGAGAGGGATAGCTGCAACATTTTTAAGATGAGATAACCCTAGGGCCAGGTTTTCTGCATTCTTAAAAACACTAATGTCATCTGACAAACAAGGCTTGTTGGACTCTTCTCCCAAAATGGGTAATCTGTATGTTTTAAGAGGTCTTAGACATTCCAACCTCTGTCCCAGAAAGAAACATTATTATTTGGAAACTTTAAAAAACAAAACTAAACTAAAAAACCTGCTCTCTGCTAAAGTTACCTCAAAACACCTATGTGATAATTTTCACATATTTTACATATAAATATATTGAAATCCCCCCTCAGACATTGTAATTTTGTTTCCAAGAGTCATGCACACATAAAAGGAATTAGTAGAAAAGGTTATCCTATTTGTCCAGATATTTACTACTACTGTTGCTCAAACTTTATCCCTGAAGTACCAAGTTTCTCTGTGGTATCTTTTTTTTTTTTTTTTTTAGATTTTATTTATTTATAGGACAGAGAAAGACACCGCAAGAGAGGGAACACAAGCAGGGGGAGTGGGAGAGGGAGAAGCAGGCTTCCCGCCGAGCAGGGAGCCCGTTGTGGGGCTCGATCCCAGGACCCCAGGATCATGACCTGAGCCGAAGGCAGACGCTTAACGACTGAGCCACCCAGGCGCCCCTCTCTGTGGTATCATTATCTGAAGAATATTTATCATTTTTTTTAAGATTTTATTTTTTGTGAGAGAGCAAGCGAGCACAAAGTGGGGGAGGGAGGGTCAGAGGGAGAAGCAGACTCTCCACTGAGCAGGGAGCCTGATGTGGGACTCAATCCCAGGACCCTGAGATCATGACCTGAGCCAAGGCCAATGCTTAACCGACTGAGCCACCCAGGCGCCCCTATCATTTCTTTTAGAGCATTTCCATGATGGAAAAAATTTCTAGTTTTTCCTTCATCTGAGGGTAACTTTATCTTGAATTCATTTTAAAGGATATTTTTGCTTGTTATGGAATTCTGGATTTATTCTTTACCTTCAGCACCTTAAAGATGTCCTGTCTTCTGGACTGTATATAGTATCTGACAAGAAATACAATCATTCAAAATTAGTTATCCTATATGTAATACAGTGAGTTTTGGTAGGAACTTTCAAGATTTTTTCATCATTCACTTTCATCAGTTTGATTACATTGTGTATTGGTATACATTTAGGTGTATTCTCTTCAAGGTCACAAATCTTCTTGAACATGTACATTTGTCTTCCATTGAATTTTAGAAATTCTTTCCTCAAATATTTTTTTCTATGCCAATCTCTATCTTTTTGGGACTCCAACCACACAAATATTGAACCTTTTGAAATTGTCACATAGATTCTTGAAGCCCTATTTTTTTTTCAAAATGTTTTTCAAATTTTATAGTTTCTAATTTTCAGGTTCACTGATCATCTGTCACCTTAAATCTGCTATTGAACTCATTCATTTTTTACAACAAATTTTAGACATTTTGTTTTTCAGTTTAGTAAATTCCACCTGGTTCTTTGAAGTTTTATTTTCTGAGAACTTCTATTTTTTAATTCATCTTTAAAGTACTGACCTATCATGGAATATAGTAATAACGGTTGCTTTAAAATCTCTATGATGGGGTGCCTGGGTGGCTCACTTGTTAAGCGTCTGCCTTCGGCTCAGGTCATGATCCCAGAGTACTGGGATCGAGCCCTGCGTCGGGCTCCCTGCTCAGCTGGGGGCCTGCTTCTCCCTCTCCCTCTCCCCCTGCTTGTGTTCCCTCTCTCGCTGTCTCTGTCAAATAAATAAAATCTTTAAAAATAAAAATAAATAAAATCACTATGATAATACCAAAATCTCTAATATCCTGTGTCTGGCATCTATTCATTGTCACATATTTCCCCTGGTTCTTTGTATTTTTGGATTGTTGGGCATTTTGCACATTGTTGTAAGAATCTGATCTCTTTAAAAATCTCCTGGACAATGTATGTGTGAATGCCCTTTTAAAAAGGCAATCAATTCAGTTAGGTTCAGACCACAACTTCGATCTCCCCTTTTATGAGAAGTGCTTCCAATATCTAATTTTCAGTCTTTACCATGATGATTTGGGTCTACCTCACATATGATCTCTGAGTTCAGTCTGTAACATGGGTGGGGCTTCATATTATAAATTCCAAAAGCTATTTCTATGTTTTATTTTGGACTATCTCATACATGTTCACATTGAAGATGAGCTCAAGAAACTGCTTCAGTTCATATACGAAATAAGGAGATCCCCTTCTTCAGCTCTCTCATCTCTAAAATTACCCTATTCTCCAGCTCCAAAGGTTTCTTTTTCTCACTCCAAAGTAGACTAGATGCATGCCTTCTCTGGATATTAAGCCACATTTGTTGCCATGGAGATCTGCACAAATGGAGTCACCCTTGGGAAAAGCAAAAAATAGAGACTTAACAGAATTCTATGCACTCTTCTATTCACAAGGGTCCCCTTTTGCACATTGCTCTAATAAAGATGGCTTTTCCTCCTGCAGACTTCAGTGCCTCTGGCATCACCATCATGCAGTTCCAGAACTGTAGCTGTCTTTAGGGAAAATCCAGGAGGAAGGAGGCCAGAAGGAAGGGAGAGAGATGGGGATGGAGAATAAATATGAATAAAAATATTTCCTATATACTTCAGCTTACAAGTACCCAATAGCCAGTCAGCTGGCCAGAAAGATAAGGGTTCTCTAAGATTTTCTGTCTATGCTCATTTACAGTTCTGTACTAGTGATGCCCTCAGACCAAAGCCAGAAGTAATTTATACATTTTTCCTAGGTTATACAATTTGTTTGCATATAATTGTTCATAGTAGCCACTTATGATCCTTGTACTTCTGTGGTATCAGTTGTAATGTCTCTTTATTGAGTCCTCTCCTCTCCTTTTCTTCTTGGTTAGAGTATCTAGTTTGCCAATTTTTTCTTTTAAAAAAAGCTCTTAGTTTCATTGATTTATCTTTGCAGTCTCTATTTATATCTGCTCTTTATTATGTCCTTCCTTCTTTGAACTCAGTCTTAGTTTGTTCTTTGTCTAATTTCTTAAGGTATAGAATTAAGTTGAGATCTTTGTATTAATGTAGGAATTTATCGTTATAATCATTTCCCTTGGCATGTTTTTTCATTTGTCTCAAAATATTATTTCCTTTGGATGTTTAGGCTAATATTTTTCATAAAACATTGTAGTTTTCAGGTATCACTTCTACAAATGTCATTTTCCATGTTTCCCCCTCTATTTCTAACACTGGCATAACATACATGTTGGTATGCACAATGGCATCCCACATTTCTATGAAACTGCTTTCTTCCTTTTTCCTGTATTCTTTAAATTGTATAATGTCTGTCAATCTGTGTTCAAGCCCACTGATTGTTTATTCTGACAATTCATATTACTGTTGAAACACTCTAGTGATTTTTCTTTTCTATTTGTCTATACTTTTCAACTCCAGATTGTCCCTACAGCTCTTTCTACAATTCCTATTATTTTTTTTTAGAGATTTTATTTGACAGAGAGAGACACAGCGAGAGAGGGAACATAAGCAGGGGGGAGTGGGAGAGGGAGAAGGAGGCTTCCCGCGGAGCAGGGAGCCTGATGCGGGGCTTGATCCCAGGACCCTGGGATCACGACCTGAGCCAAAGGCAGACGCTTAATGACTGAGCCACCCAGGCGCCCCTACAATTCCTACTTATTGATACTATTTGATGAAACACTATCTTCATACCTGTACCTTTTAAAGCATGGTTTCCTCTAGTTCTTTGAACATAGCTGATTTAAAATATTTATCTGCTAAATCTGATATGTAGGCCTTTAAATGTGGGTTCTGCTACCAACCTCTTTTGCTTTATGGTGACATTTTCTTCTTTCTTTGCAGGTCTGGAGATTTTTCAGCTCAAAAGTAGGCATTATAAATGATATATAGTAGCAATACTGGCTAGTTAACCACAAGATGAATCCAGGGCTGGTAGTTACTGTTCACATTTTTAATATGTTAAGTGATTGACTGGACTTTTAGTGAAGTCTCTTTCTCCCATGATATGATGGGAGCCTATGATACTGCTCCTCAGAGGGCACAGCCCCAGAAATGTCGTTACCCTAGGATGGCAGTGCACAATTTCTATTCTTGAACATACTGAGCTGCTAGCCTACATTAACTGTAAGTTAATTTTCCTATCACTTATAACAATGCTCTGGGGGCATATCTTACTGTATATTCTAATCCAATTAAACTCGGTCCATTTGCAGGGGCAGTTTATGATGCCAGTCTTTGTTCTGACTACAGGAATGCTATTCTTAACTCTTTACCTGGTTCTCTGTGGCAAATCAGCCTACAGTTTAGCAAGTTGCTCTCATTAAACTACCAGCTAAGTACTTAACACCGAATTATCATTTTTTAAGACTGCCCATAGGCTTGAACGTCCCCCTGCTCTTTTAAATAAAATTTCATCAGGGAGGGCTTCAGAACTCTGTTCTCGTGTTCTGCCCGTTCTACTCAGCAACATTTATCATCCAGATGCACTGAGCTGTGTGTAGCAGGGCGGGGGGGGGGGGGGCAGTGACTACCTTGGCTCAAAGTAACAGCCCAAATTTATAGGGATTAGCTGTTCTCAACTTGCCTCACCTGGTATGGTATATCAATGGTCCAAACAACCTGGAATGAAGATAAGAGTATTCTGAGCGTATCAGGCCTGAGGAAGAGCTTCTGCTCTATGTGTCTGGGTTGGGAGAACAGAAGTCCTCTTCCTATCAGCTACAATTGACTGGAAGTGAGGATCTACAAAACTGAGCTGTGGGGATATGGAATTTTAGCATCACTCCATTCTGGACAATAGACCTCAACTATTAGCTAAAAGAGAGGGATCCCTGTATTCCTCACTGCAAATGCTTGGAGTGGTCACTGTCTTGCTGAATTGAGATGGGAGAACTGAGTGGTGGTTCAAACGCCATAGAGTCTTTTTATTCCGTTTTAGTACAATTCTCAAAATTTTTTCATTTGCTGTATGCCATTAGAATTTCAAGAGGTGTTAAACTGTTGTAAATTTTGCTCATCTCACCAGTTACATTTGTTTCCCTGGAGAGTAGATTCACAAAATCCTTACACTGTCATTTAAAAAATGGAAACACCTTAATTTCACATGTTTTTACTCTTACTGTCAATTCTTTGATACTTTATTCTTTCAAAGCTATTATCTTTATCTGAGGAATTAATCAAATTGGCATTTTAAGTTTAAGGGGGGGCATTAGATAGGTGTTTTAGATTCCCAAACTAGATATGAATTCCTTCTTTGGTAAAGCAAACTTGTCTTTTGAACTTTTTCTTCCTTCCTTCCTTTTTTTTTTTTTAAAGGACTACATTACTTTTGTTTATTTTGATGTAAGTTCTATGCCCAACTTGGGGCTCAAATTAACAATCCCAAGATCAAGAGGTGCACTAAGGTGTCTCAATAAGGACAGAGCTTGTTTTTCCCCAACTTTTTAAATCTTTCATATTTCACTCTTAAAGCTACTGTTGTCCAACAGCATTTATGTATCACAGTACTTACTTATTGCAGCATACCCTACAATGCTTCCTTTTCCTAATTATTGAATTCCATCATATGGTCAAATTTTACAATTTTTCCTATTCCTTAAAATTAACTTGCACTTGCTAATAAATTTCTTCCCTTATTAACAAAGACGGTAGATCTAACCAAACTTCTAGATTACTTTAAAAATCTCACCACAGTGGGAAGAAAATAACCTAAGCAATCCAGATACTATGGAATTTTTAATAATTATATAAGCAATAGATAGAAAAGACTGCACATATATCAAATGAAGTGAATATGGACCACATATAATGCTATGCTAACGCTTTTCTTCTTGCATGGTAATGAGTGATGACTGGTAAGTGGTTTGCAAGACTCACTGTAATTTACGTTACTTTTACAATCTGTACTATTTTTCAATTTTCTTGTACTAATACTAGTGCCCACACTCAATATCTATTGTACACTTTCACATTCATACAAAACAGAGAACATCTGTCACATTACCACATTTGATTCACATTTAAATCATTAGTGTTCATGTATGGATGAACACTTGAAACAATGATTTAGGAGAAAACAATAGCAGATAAGTAAATGGTTAAAGAGCTTTTGCCTATCAGATAGTGCAACCAACTAAATCAAAAAAAAAATAAGGAAAATGGTAACCCTAATATACTTTAAGTGCCCCATAGGGGTTCATCAAAAAAGAAATAATAATTCCACTTTTGGAAATGATTGGAGAATATATAGTACACTCTGGGGAGGATCCTCAGTAATTGGCATTTTAATGTAGTTTTAAAATTACAGAAATCTTATACACGGAAGACAGTATAAATTATATGTATATTTAAAGACTAATTTGACAAGCTTAATGAAGAAAATATTTCTAGTATCACTGAAGTGGCATGTATTCTACTTTAATTTTTAACCAGAGGAACCACTATCCTGAATTTTGTTAATACATTTGGCTTCTTTGCTGAAAAGAATGTGAGATACATGCATAATGTATAGTTACAGTTCATTATTTTTCATTGCCATAATCCACTAAAAGAAAACACCACAAAAATTAATATATCTATTCTGTTGACAGACATTTGCATGTTTTCCAATTTAGAGCTATTATGAATAGTGATGATATAGACATTAACACGTCTTTAGGTGAACATATACATATCTTTGTGGTCATATACATATAAGTTAAATTTTGGAATCACAGGATATGTGCATGTTCAGCTTTACAAACATATCATTAAAAGATCTTCTAACATGACTTTCACCAATCATACTCCCACCATTACTCTATGAAAGATATTTGTTAGCAAAATACTCACCAATATTTGGCATCCTCAATCCATTTCATTTTAGCCTTTCTAGAGGGTATTAGTACTGCTTAGAGTTTTTGTTATTTCTGTTGCCAAATGAGGCCCTACAGCTGTGTTTTATGTGGAAAATGCTCAAGTCTTCAGCAAACTCATATGGAATCAACTGCCAATTTCATATTGATCCCAAGAGTTGTTTAGAAATTCAGAAAAATCAGCATTTTGCAAAAAGTTAGATATACCTATTATAGTCTTTAGATAATCTCATAAAATTTTAATTAGTTGTAATAAATATATTGCAAATTACCTTAAACAGATCCAGACCAAGGATTAGTAAACTACACCATGCAAGCCAAATCTGGCTCTCCACCTATTTTATTTTTTAGGTAACTAATTCCTTTAATTTTTTAATGAGGTTAACACCCACATACACAACATTCACCATTTTATTAAAAAATTTTTTACTTAAAATTTTTTAGTTGACACACAATGTTACATTGGTTTCAGGTGTAGAACAAAGTGATTCAATGCTATACATTATGTTATGATCACTGCAAGTGTAGCTACCACCTGTCACCATACAATGCTATTACAATACTATTGACTATATTCCGTATGCTGTAACCATTTTATCAATTTTAAATAGTACAATTCAGTGGCTTTTAGTACATTCACAACCTTGTGCAACCATCACCATGGTCAACTCTTTATTTTAGTAAGGCAGTAGAAAACCCAAGACTTATTAAGCAGTCATTCTCCATTCCCCATACCCATACTTGTTGACAACCACTAATCTGCTTTGCTTCTATGGATTTACCTCTTTCATATTTCATGTAAAATGAATTAGGCCCTTATATGTTTGTTTTCATTCACTTAGCATAATGATTAATAGGAATATCCATGTTATACTGTGTATCCATAATTCATTCAACTATAAAGTTGAGTAATACTGCATTTTTTGATATACCACTTTATTTAAACAACATATAGTACATCATTAATTTTTGATGTAGCGTTCGACCCATCAGTTGCATGTAACACCCATGCTCATCACAACACGTGCCCTCCTTAATGCCCATCACCCAGTTACCCCATCCCCCGACCCACCTCTCCTTCCGCGACACTCAGTTTGTTTCCCAGAGTCAAGGGTCTCTCATGGTTTTTCTCCCTCTCTGATTTCTTCCCATTCAGTTTTCCCTCCCTTTCCCTGTGGCGCTCCGCACTATTCCTTATATTCCACATGAGTGGAACCATATGATAATTGTCCTTCTCTGATTGACTTATCTCACGTAGCCTAATACCCTCCAGTTCCATCCACATCAATGTAAATGGTAGGTATTCATACTGAGGGCTGAGTAATATTCCATTGTATATATATATATATATATATATATATATACACACACCGAATCTTCTTTATCCATTCATCTGTTGAAGGACATCTTGGCTCCTTCCACAGTTTGGCTATTGTGGACACTGCTGCTATGAACACTGGGGTGCAGGTGCCCCTTCTTTTCACTACATTTGTATCTTTGGGGTAAATACCCAGTACTTCAATTGCTGGGTCGTAGGGCAGCGCTATTTTTAACTTGAGAAACCTCCATACTGTTTTCCAGAGTGGCTGTACCAGCTTGCATTCCCACCAACAGTGTAAGGTGGATATACCACTTTCATCACCTCATGAATACTGGAGTAGTTTCCACCTTTCAACTATGATGAATAGTGTGGCTATACACATTCGCATACAAAAATTTTATTTAAAAATGGATTCCTTTAACTTAGGGATATGACTTGGTGTGGAACTGCTGGGTCATCGAAATTTTGTGTTTAGTTTTTTTTTTTTTTTACTTCTTAGTACCAAGCACTGTGTTAGGTTATTTATTTTATTGAAGTATAATTAACTCACTGTGTTATATTAGTTTCAGGTGTACAATATGATTCAACAATTTTACATACTATTCACTCATAAAAAAATGAGATCTTGCCATCTGCAACAACATAGGTAGACCTAGAGAGTAAAATGCTAAGTGACATAAGACAAATACTGTATGATTTCATTCATATGTGGAATTTAAGAAACCAAACAAATGAACAAAGGAAAAAAGAGACTCAAAGAGAACTGCTGTTTACAAGAAGGTAGGTGGGTAGGGGATGAGTAAAATGGATAAAGGGGAGCAAGAACATACTTACTGTGATGAATACCAAGTAATCTCTATATTTCTGAGGAACCACCATCCTGTTTTCCACAGCAGCCTCACCATTGGACAGCTCCCTGTAGCAAAGACCAAAAATTCCGATTTCTCCACACTCTTGCCAATATTTACTATTTCTCATTTTTCATGTAATAGCCATAGTACTGAGAGTGAAGTGATAGCTCATTTATTCTAAATTGAATTTCTCAAATAAACAGTAATGTTAAAGATTTTCATGTACTAATGGCTGCTGGTATATCAACTTTTGAGAAATGTCTTACTTAAGCTCTTGGTGCATTTATAAATTGGATTTTGTTTCTGATTTTTTTTTTTAAAGATTTTATTTATTTGACAGAGACAGACACAGTGAGAGAGGGAACACAAGCAGGGGGAGCGGGAGAGAGAGAAGCAGGCTTCCCCGCTGAGCAGGGAGCCCGATGTGGGGCTTGATCCCAGGACTGCTGGGATCATGACCTGAGCCAAAGGCAGACGCTTAACAACTGAGCCACCCAGGTGCCCCTTGTTTCTGATTTTTAATTGCAAATGTTTATATATTCTGCAAGCTAGTACTTTCTCAAATATGTATTTTCCAAGTATTTTCTATTTTGAGGGTTGTCTTTTCACTTTCCTGACAGTGTTCTATGGTGCACTATGGTTTATAAGTTTGATAAAGTCCAATTAATCTATTTTATCTTATCATGATTTTACTTTCAGGGTTATACCTAAGAATCAACTACCAAATTAAAGATCAGGAAAATTTAACTATATTTTCTATTAATATTTTTATATTATTAGCTCATACATTTGATTGTTTTGAGTTTTAATATTTTTATAGTATTAGCTCATACATTTGATTGATTTTGAGTTAATTTTTGTAAAGGGTATGAGGTAAAGGTCCAACATTGTTTTCTAAGTTGCTACCCAGTTGTTCAAGGACCATCTGTTGAAGACATTATTCTTTCATAATTGAATGCTCTTGGCAATCTTCTAAAAATCAATTAGCCACAGATGTATGGGAGTATATCTGGACTTTCAGTTCTATTCCTTTGGCCTATATGCCTATCCTTATACAAATACCACGCTGTTCAGATTACTATAATTTTGTTGTAAGATTTGAAAAAATTAAGTGTCAATCTTAAGTTGTTGTTTTTCAAGATTGTTTAAGCTATTCAGGGTCCTCTGCAATTATGTATCTATTTTAGGATCAGCTTTTCCACTTCTGTAAAAGAGACAGTTAAGATTTTGATGATTGTATTAAATCTGTGTATCACTTTAAGGGCTTACACCATGCTAAATTACGCTTTCCAATAAATGAACACAGGATGTCTTTCCACTTGTTTAATTTTCTTTCAATAAAGTTTTGTAGACTTAAATTTACAAGCCTCCCACCTACTTGAATGTACCCTACCTATTTTATTCTTTATGGTAATATTGCAAATGGAATTGTTCCCATATTTTCCTTTTTGCATTGTACATTGCCAGTGTATAAAAATACAACTGATTGGGCGCCTGGGTGGCTCAGTTGGTTAAGTGACTGCCTTCGGCTCAGGTCATGATCCTGGAGTCCCGGGATCGAGTCCCGCATGGGGCTCCCTGCTCGGCAGGGAGTCTGCTTCTCCCTCTGACCCTCCCCCCTCTCATGTGCTCTCTGTCTCTCTCATTCTCTCTGTCTCAGATAAATAAATAAAATCTTTAAAAAAAAAAAATACAACTGATTTTTATTTTGCATATGCTCTGAAACTGCTCAATTTCTTTTAAGCTCTGTTTTTCATGCGAATTTTTTTTTTAATTTTATTATGTTAGTCACCATACAATACATCATTGGTTTTTGATGTGGTGACCCACGATCCATTGTTTCCGTATAACACCCAGTGCTCCATGCAGTACGTGCCCTCTTTAATACCCATCACCGGGCAGGCTAACCAATCCCCCCTCCCCCCTCCCCTCTAAAACCCTGTTTGTTTCTCAGAGTCAATAGTCTCTCATGATTCATCTCTCCCTCCAATTCCCATTTTTTCCTTCCTTCTCCTAATGTCCTCCATGTTATTCCTTATGTTCCACAAATAAGTGAAGCCATATGATAATTGACTTTCTCTGCTTGACTTAGTTCACTTAGCATAATCTCCTCCAGTCCCATCCATGTTGATGTAAAAGTTGGGTATTCATCTTTTCTGATGGCTGAGTAATATTCCATTGTATATATGGACCACATCTTCTTTATCCATTCATCTGTTGGAAGGGCATCTTGGCTCTTTCCAGTTTGGCTATTGCGGACATTGCTGCTATGAACATTGGGATGCATATGGCCCTTCTTTTCACTACATCAGTGTCTTTGTGGTAAATACCCAGGAGTGCAATTGCTGGGTCATAGGGTAGCTCTATTTTTAAATTTTTGAGGAACCTCCACACTGTTTTCCAAAGTGGCTGTATCAACTTGCATTCCCACCAACAGTGTAAGAGGGTTCCCCTTTTTCCACAACCTCTTCAACATTTGTTGTTTCTTTCCCTGTCCATTTTTGCCATCCTAACTGGTGTAAGGTGGTATCTCAGTGTGGTTTTGTTTCATGCAGATTCTTTAGGACTTTCTACATGTAAGATCAGGTCATCTGAGAATAGTTTTACTTCTTCCATTCCAATTTTATTCTTTTTCTGGCTAGAACTTCTAGCACAAAGTTATTTACCAGTGGCATCCTAGTTTTATTTGTGGTAATCAAGGTACAACAGACTTTTCCCATTAAGTATGTTAGCTCTTTTTCATAAATGCCTCTCAAATCCTGTTGAGGAAATTCCATTCTATTCCTAGTTTGTACAGCTTTGTATATCATGAAAGGGTGTGGATTTTGTCTAACGGTTAATCTGAAACACATTATGTGGTTATTTTCCTTTGTACTATTAATGTGCTGTATAAAATTAATTTACATATGTTGAACCACCTTTGCAATTCTGGAAAAAATCCCATTTTGCTCATGGGGCATAATCCTTTTAACATGTTGCTACATTTGGTTTACTTGTACTTTAAGGTTTTTGGCATTTATAGTCATAAGGTACACTGACCTATAGGTTTTGTCTTTGTGTTGGTCCAACATTGGTATCACGGAAATGTCTCAAAATGAGTTAAAGCGTTCCCTCATTTCTATTTTCTGAGAGAGGCTGAAGAGAGGTGTTAATTCTTCAACATCTGAAAGAACTTACCAGTGAAACCATGTGGTACTAGGCTATTTTTTTTTTTGGCATATATTTTAAAACATAATTTCCTAATGTGAGATCTATATAACATTAAAGTAACAATTTTAAAGTAAACAATTTAGTAGCATTAAAGCACATTAACACAATCTAGTTGCAAAATGTTTACCTTACTCAAAAGTAAAACACTATAGTCATTAAACAGTTTCTCCACATTCCCACTCCTCCCAGGTCCTGGCAGCCACCAGTCAAAATTCTTTTTCAAAGGAATTATCTATATGTATGGAATCATACAACATGTGACCTTGTGTGTCTAGTTTCATTCACTTAGTGTAATGTGTTGTAACTTCATCTACACTATAGCATGTATCAGTAATTTTCATGACTGAATAATATTCCCTTTTATGCATATACCAAAATTTTGTTATTTTGTACACTTGCACTTTATTCTACAATAGCTGAACCATTTTAAATAGCAGTTATGTAGACAGGTTTTGATTTATGCACATTTTTGCCAACGATTATTTTTCATGTTTTAAATTACAAACTAGTGGATGTGAAATGATCTCATTGTGGTTCTGATTTGCACTTCATTTATGTCTAATATGAAGAATCTTTCATGGTTTTTGTCCACTTTGAAAAAATGTCTTTTCAAAATGTTGTCCATTTTTATTTTTTTTAAAGATTTTATTTATTTGAGAGAAAGAGAACACAAGCAGGGGGAGGGGCAGAGAGGGGGAGAAAAGACACCCCGCTGAGTAGAGAGCTCAACGTGGGGCTCAATCCCAGGACCCCGGGATTATGACCTGAGCCAAAGGCAGACGCTTAATGACTGAGCCACCCAGGTGCCCCAAAATGCTGCCCGTTTTTTAACTGAGTTGTCAATTTGTTGTTCAGATGTAAGCAGGTTTAAAAAAAATACATAATAGGGCGCCTGGGTGGCTCAGTTGGTTAAGCGACTGCCTTCGGCTCAGGTCATGATCCTGGAGTCCCGGGATCGAGTCCCGCATTGGGCTTCCTGCTCAGCAGGGAGTCTGCTTCTCCCTCTGACCCTCCTCCCTCTCATATGCTCTCTCTCTCATTCTCGCTCTCTTAAATAAATAAAATCTTTAAAAAAATACATAATATATTCTTGATACAAGACCCTTATTTAGTATATGGTTTGTAAATATTTTCTCATCTTCTGCATATTGTCTTTTTACTTTCTTGGTAGTGTCTTTTGATGCATTAAAGTATTAAATTTTGATAAAATTGAGTATGTCTCTTTTTGCTTCCACTTTAGGAATCACAATTAAGATACCATCATCAAATCCAAGGTCATTAAGATTTATTCCTGTTTTCTACTAAAAGTTCTAGAGATTTAGCTCTTGTATTTGGAATGTTGATGCATTTTGAGTTTTGCAGACGGTGTAATGTAGGGGTCCAACTTCATTTCTTTGCATGTTGACATCAGGTTGTCCAAACACTATTTGCTGAAGGGACTGTTCATTCCTATAAATCATCTTGGGACCCTCATCAATAATGAACTGGATATAGATGTATGGATTTATTTCTGGAACCTCAATTCTATTCCAGCTCTATTCTAATCTTTGAAATAAAAACTTAAGTCCTCTGACTTTATTCTTTTTCAAGATTGATTTCGGTATTCAGAAACCCTAGCAATTCTATATGAATTTATGGATTAGCTTTTTCACTTCTGCATAAAAGGCTGTTCAGCTTTTGAAAGGTATTGCATTGATTCTGTAGACTACTATGGGTGACAATGACATCTTAAGAACATTATATCACAATGCACGAACACAGGATGTTTTCCCATTTATTTACATGTTCTCTAATTTATTCAAGTAAAATTGTTTGTTTAAGTAGGCTCCACACCCACCACAGAGCCCAACGTGGG